GTTTTCATTGCACCTGCGCAGATAGAGAAAGGCAATAAACTGACAGAAACATCACTGACAGAAAATCACTAAAATCACTACAGTTTGTGTTAGTTCACAGGGTCAGAGACTGGGTGAGGTCTTTTATGCGCAGTTATACTTACGTGGGTCGGATTCCAAAACACTGATACCAGATGATTCTGGGAGGAGGATAGCCATGCGAAGTGCAAGTAAGTGTGGTTACATTTTCCCATTTCACGACAGCAATTGGTCTCTCTGCCAGTGGGAAGAAATGAGGGGGAAAAACAATAATTACTCAACAGTGAAGGATCGAGATATACGACCAGTTGACAAAGAAAAAAATTAAACGATGTTAGTTTGTGTTTCTGTCACTTACGATACATCTGGACTTGAAATGTGATGGATGCGTTGGTCATTTCACTCTGAGCATAGAAGGTGTACTGGCCCTGCTCCTGTATATTCATTCTTTTCAGCTGCAGAATAGCATGGTATCTAAGACAAAAATAAATAAATGGTGAAAAAGAGGAATATCTACAGAACCAGAAGTGACTAATTTGGTGGCTTGAATTCAGACAGCTCCTATGCATCATTGGTGAAATAAAAAGAGAACAGCACTCTTCCCTCTTTGAGTTTCATGACCTGAGGAAATATAATGACCTGGTCAGATATACACAGAATGCAAGGACAGCAAATCTCAAATTTAGTAAAACTTCCTCTTCCTGTAGTACACTTGATTTTCGCACTTTTCTAACTGTACTGTTGAGATACCAGAATGATGAGTAGGGGTATTGCACGTTTCTTTCCCATGAAGCTATTTTAGTCCACCTGTTGTTGTATCGGATGAACTTGTTCTCCTGCGTGGCTGTGTTGGGAGATGTCGGCGTGTCCCATCTGTGCTTTGTGATGTGGGGGTATGCTTCGATGAGAACGCTGAGCTCCAGATCGTCTCCCTCGCTCACCTCGACCGAGAGGCCCTTGTGGGCCAGCTTAGGCGACAGCTGGGGTGATAGTCTGATGTAAGGCTTGTCTGCTCAAACAATGAAGAGACAAACATTTTAGTTTCTTGAAATCATTAAACAGCTTATAAAGTGAATACTTTAGGCTCTTCTTTATAAATTCCAAGAGGTTTTAGCTGTCGGGTGTGTTTTTGTGGCTTACCCACAACCAGCAGGTATGTGGTCGAAGTGTTCACCCCTGCTTCGTTAGAACCGATGCAGGAGATGTTTCCTGTGTCTGCCAGGTTCACAGCAGCGATAGTCAGTGTGCTCTCTATGTCCAGGCGATTTTCACCATTGGAGCGAACTATCTCTGTGATTTTTGGGCCCTGAAGACAAATACATAAAGATGTTTAAAGAAGAAAAAGAAAAAATTAAAATTTTGATTAGTATCACTGTAAAACGTAGAAATATCTTGTACTGACTGATTTGGTTGTGTATTTCCAGGTGACGTTGTAGTAGAAGTTGGGATTGTGTGTTGTGCATGGGATCTTGAGTTCTTCCCCAACTATGCGTACATATTCCTCTGTCTCCAAGAAGACGTATGGAGGGAAACGGAGCTCTAGAAAAAGGGAAAAATCATACCCAAATGTCAAAACAGACACAAGTGGTAATGGGCTGATTCTTATATTTGTGTTTTGAGCGCCTACTTGAGCACTCAAAGCACATTTTTCTACACCTAAGTGCTTTCTATCTAATATTCACACATATTCAAAATCCTATAAACGCATCAGAGAGCAACTTGGGTTGAGCATCTTGCCCAAGGATACTTAGGCATGCAGACCAGAGACAGAAGCAGCCAGTGACTGAACCACCTGCTCTACCTCCTGAGTTACAGCCATCCCAGACAAGTTTCAGTTTAGAGGAATTCTAAAAAAAAAAAAGGCTTTGGAAAATTATTTTTCTCACTCTGAATGACATTGATGGAAAAGGCCTTAGAGGTCATCTCCACTCCGTTGACCCTGGCCGTGCAGATGTAGTCAGCATTAAAGCTGGGGTGAAGGCTGTGGATTTGAATGCCACGGTCTCTGAAGATGGTAAAGTTCATTCCTGGTGGCACAGAAGTGCCATTGTTCATGCGCAGGCTTATGTCTGTAGCTTCTGGGTTGGTCAGTAGGCAGGGCAGCAGGTAGCTCTCACCCTCCTTCGCTACCACCTGCAGGGATGTGCTGCTGGTCCAGAAAACATGACTTGGATCTGGAAGAAGGATTTTCAAACAATTAACTAATGCGAAACTTAGCCTGAACACTAATAAACATCCAGCTAAGCACAAACTTCAGGAAGCTTACAGCAGAACAACAGAAGCTCACCTTTTACATACACATACACCGAGGACTCACGATGGGACCCGTTGGTGTAATAACACTTGTACGTTCCAGTGAATTCTGCGGTGGGACGTTCGACTTTAAAAGTACGGACAGTCCCATTGCCCCTGGATATGTAGCGTCTGTGTTTGGGTAGTCTGGTTTGCCAGATTACAGGCGCTTCACCCTCACACCTCAGATCCAGAGGTCTTCCAGCTCTGACCACCACCTCAGTGCTCTTAACCACCTTGGAGTTTAACTTGATCACTGGACGCCTCCACTCAGCTAAAAATAAGAAACAGTACAAATTAAAATGACATAGAAAAATAGGGTAGAACGATTTAATGAACTGAATTTGTTCCTGATGGTCTCTGAGGGTTTTTATTTATTTATTTTTTGTGTTGCATATCATTTTTGGTCTCGCCATTTCATTATCTCATCTGCTCTGTGATTCAGAATTATTTTAAGAGTATGATTCAGGAAACAGATTGAAGACTCTTGGCTCCATCTATACTTGATACTTCTGCTTTTCACATTGTTGTTATAGCTCAACAGTGGGGGTAAAAAAAAACTGTTACTATGGGAAACTTCAAATATTACTGCTGTAATTTTTGCTTAGACCCTTTGTCTTTGACGCCAAAAATAAAACTAGAGACACACTTAAGAATTTTAAACACATGAGAGCGGAAAAATATTTATCAGCCATTTCTGAGGAAGGGATTTCGTGTAATGGGCCAAACCCTGAGGGGTTAATAAAGCATATTTTTGCAACAAAGAACACTGATTTCTTTGATTACTTTGGTGAGAATCTCGACGTTTTTAAAAACTGGATCGTGCATTACGCCAAATTACCGACACTGGAGAAGCTGAGACGTCTTTCCGGTTAGAGGTCATAAAACTTTCCATTCGGCCTTTCTTACAGTGCGTGTTGAATCTTGAAGCAGAACTGAGATTCCACGTTCAGCATTTTGTATTCGCCACATAGCACAATGTAAGACACTGAAAATTAAATGTCATGTGAAGCCAGCATTTTATTTCTGATGTCCTGCTCAGCAGTGTAAACAGCTACCTTTGCCCCAAAGTCCTTCAGCTGTTAAAAAGAGCTATTCATGCAACCTCAACATGACCTAATATAAACGTCATACAATAATCAACCAGAAAGCAAAGCTAATTCATTCAGACCTAACTCAGCGAAACAACAGATGCTTTTATCTATTAAAATGCAAATAAATGAAATTGCAATTGGATGGCTGTCGGGTGATACTCATATTTGTGATGTTAAATATTATCACAAGAACAACCCTAAACCCCCCAAAACTGAAGACAATCAACAGCTGAGAAGGCTGTCAGCTCTTTTCTGCTGTGAGTACAAGTGCATCACTCCAAATATGATGAGTATGTTGTTGACATGTTTACATCTCACATTTAAAAACATAAACAGATGAATGCTATTTTCTGTAATCACATTTAATTTGATTTCACTAACTTAATCTTTTAGTGTTACACAAACTTTACTCACACAGTACTTTTCATTCTTCAAGTCTATCGGGGAATGTGACAGTTACGTGCTTTACCCAGTCATCTTTCACATCTAACAAATAGTGGTTTTAACGTGTACGTCCACATTAGTTTTCAAAAACAAGATAAAAACGAAAAGCAAACATCTGATATAAGGGGGGCAAAATCACAGCAATTGTAATTGTTGCTTTTCAGAGCTTACCTGAAGCAGTGGAGGCCACAAGCCACAGCATAAGGTAGGACAACATCCTTGATCAACTCAGACCTGCAGTTTAAACATTGTTACTTATTAGCGCAGGAAGAAAAAACCTGATTTGTAGTGATGGGTGCAAGATTAAAAACAAAAACCCCCAAAGAAGCAACTGTTGCTATCACTGAATTTCATCGTTTACTTCTTTCTGAATGATCAGGAAAAACACTGAACAAACTGTTTCCATTATTATTACCAGTGTAATGAAACCAGAATTGAAATATTAAAACTTGAGCTCATAAAAACAATTAAAGAATGACATACCCGAGAAAGAATTTCATTGGTGCATGTATTAAAAGTAGTCACTCTAACTTGAAACACAGATTTCTGAATTATAGAAGTAGCCCATATTTCTTTCTAGTGTTTTCACCTGCAGATGTCTTCAGCTTGGGTCTAATAACTTCCCTGAGTCAGAAGTTTCCAGCATCCAGAGCTGACACAGCTGAGTTCCTCGTTCCCTTTCTGTGCGTCTCTGTGCTCCTTCTTCTTTCTTGTTTACAGGCTTTTTGCCACAAGTCACACAGCAAACAGAAAGTCGTCTGGAGAGCAAGTGGTAGAGGGGTGGAGGAACAATGTGTGTGTGTGTGTGTGTGAGAGAGAGAGGCGACGTGTTGGGGGTGGGGGGGCAGTCAGCATATCATGCTCAACAAATTAATGAGGCACTGTCAATTGGCCTCTGAAAGGCACAATAATATCGAAACATCCGCAGAGGTGAGACCAATCATCTTTATCTCCGCTGAACTTTGGACATGCGTGAGGAACGGAGGCTTAGAAATTCAGCTCGGTAATAAACTGTGAGAATGGACAGTGAGAAAATTAAATCACAGAAATATTACGGAAAGTTTTCCTTTTTTTTTTTAAGTGTGCTTGAGTTGCATTAACAGCAGCAATGACAGTGAGAGACACCAAAGAAAACACCAGTTATCCAAGCAATACTACGATTATACACTTTATTGTCACATTTACAACATAGAAAATGACACATATAAAAAATACATTTGTAAACGTTAAGAAGAGCTTTGGTACCATAGCTTGTGATAACAGTGATCTTGTGCATTTTACAAAGAGTAAGAAAGGCTACAGGAAATAAAGACGTGTTCTTCCTTTAAGTGGTGAATTACGTTGAAACACAGTCAGTGTTATCCAAAGCAACAGAAGACTACAGGTATTTTTTTTTTTTTTAGATTTTTTTTCATGTGTACATATTGTATGGCTATCTATTTCTTGAGCAGCAGCCCTTCATATACAAGCAACAACAGCCCAAGACAACAATCAGTCTATACAAAGGCACTCATCTGTGCCATCTTGTGCTAAGGCAGTGATATGCTGTATTTATTTTTTTCACTTGAGAGTCACAGAAACTGCATATCATAATCACTCTAACATTAGATCCCGAGTTGCTGCAATGTAACTTTCACATAATTGAAATTATTTTTTTGTTATGAATATCCACATTTTCTACATAAAGTGCAAATCTGGCACAGAACTATGAGTTAAGCATACAGGACAAAAAAAAAAACTCCCAAAAGTTTTCATACACACACATCACATACAAGATAATATTCAAAATACACAAATAAAAACACAGACGCTGTGGCATATTAAACTAAAAAATAAAGTATATCTCACATTAAAACAGTGCATGTGGAACCTGTTTGTATCTACTACGATTAGTCCTCTTGACTGTACCCAAGGTAAGGTTTTCATTTATATATCGCCATTTCACATCTGATCATGCTTTAGGACAAAATGTTCTGCAACTTGTCATTTACAGGAAAATTAGCTTCTTTTCAGGTTCTTGAGGATGTTTAACCTCTTACCTGAAAAGCCTCTTTAGCTCTAAAAACACTGATGTGGGTTAGTAGGTCTTTAACCTCTAGCCTGGTTGTCACCTGTAGGTGGTCCTCATCATGTGAGTCATTAGGGAAACATGGGTGAAACTCACACTTTGATCCATGCCTTGGGTCTGGTGATCCTAAGAACTCACATGATAACAGGGTGGGTGAGCAACTCTTGGGACTACCTCCAAGGAGCCTTTCAGATGAGAGGTGAAATGTCTTCAGAAACCTAAATAGAAGTCTAGTTGCCTTCAATCAGCCATTTAAGCCTGTTGTGACGTGGACAAAATCTACACAGAAAAATGGATTCGAGGTTTTCTCACAATATTGTGTCAATGATTTCGTACTTTTTAAAAAAAGGAAATGCAGCCTACTTTTGAACAGTGAATATGGGGAACAGTTGTTGATTAGTTATCTAAAAGATAAAGCACTTATTTAATAAGGCCTCATAAGCCTCACTACACGTTGTAAACGAAGTGTAAATTGTGAGGAGGGTACCGCATTAATTTGTAGCAAGTTTCCTAATACGTACAACCGAATGACAGAAGACAATTTTGTAGTTTACTTGTAGTTAAAAAACAAAAGAAGAAACTTTCTGTGTGCTTAGTGAAAATACAGAGATTTCCATCTCAGTCTCTACTTTGCTACATTTTAGTTTATTCACGTTCCCTTTTCAGCCCCAGAAAGGAAATCTGTTTTCTCTGGGCTCCTAAATCTGGCTACAGGAAGCTGTCTTCTACCTCGGGTGTCCCGGAGGAGCCCAACAGAGCGTCTCTCTCGCTGGTCTCTTCCAGCCGGTCCTCCTCTGGAAGGGTGTCAGCAGTGTCCTGAGATATGGAGTCGGTCTCCTCACCCACACCCACAGAGCTGAAGGTGAAAAAAAACATTCACAAGTTCACACAGTGCATTTAATCACAAAGTCGTACACAGACAGCTCTTTTTGAGGTGTTGTTCTAGATGAAGTATTTCAACATGAACACAAAAAGGTTCATAAAAACCACCAAAACATATATTGGTGGTATAAAAGCCCAAGGTGCTAGCTGTCTTATTATATCCGTATATATTATTTTCATATGCCAGCTAAATGGTGGATGTTTATTTGGTTTTTATTACCAAATACGATCTAAAAAAAAAATCAGTGATCTGTGTCAGTGATCTTGGACAAAGGTTACAAGGTAAGACTTCTAAGTCAAATATAAAACAAAAACATTTCCATCACTGGTTTGGATCACTCCCAAACTGGGAAAAAAAATTTTTTTTTCAGTTTAATGTGACTAAAACTAAAACTTTGGTGGTTCAAACATTCATTTTCTCATTAATGCTGAGTGTGTGTTTATCTAAGCAGTAAAAACACTTCTCCATAATACGGCTATTGTTTCAGCTCAACATCTGGATGAGTGGGTGTTTGGATGAAAAAACTGCTTGGGTTAAGCAAACACAAATTCATCTTTGTTTCAATCCCTGCTCTTGGCACACATTTGCAGCATCCTTTCAGTGACTCTGTACCTTCCAGGACTTTCTGATGGCACGTCAGTGAAAGCGTCTTCTGGCTTCGGGTCCGGAATGGGAATGATGTACTCGTTGTATGACGGTATGACTTCCTGTGCCTCTTGTCTGAAGTCTTGTCTAGGCCTTGAGTTTTGGTTGTAGGCATCCAGTGGAGACTGGAGTGTGACAGGAGATGGGGTGCCAAATGCTGGGTTGGCGATTGGAAAGGGTGAGGTCAGCCGAGGTTTGGTGCGGGCGACTGCCGGGTGGTCACTCTTCGTGAAGTTTTCATTGGCTTGGTTGTATCTCTGTTGTCAGGAGAGAGAGTTTGATTACCTTAACAGCGTAGGAGCAGTCTGATGAGCTTGTAAGAAGAATGATGATGAGCATTTTAGTGAAATTACT